GTCTGATAGAGAAAAGCCAAGAAAAGTCGGAAAAACCCCATATATTTTCGAAACACATGAATCACAATAATACAATACAATTACAACGAACATTAATCAAGTCTATATCATACAAGAAAGTTATCCTCCTATGGCATAGAGTTGTCCGTGAATCAGGTAGAAGTCCTCGTCATGCAGTTGAACCGGAAACAAAAAATAAACAGGTAGCACAATCCTTCACGTGTACATTAAATGGACAGCTACTCACCTTCTAAGGAGTCTGCGTACACAGCTAAAAAAAAGTAGTGTAAATTTCCGTTATTATGATGCACATAAATGGAGCGTCATATATCATACAAGTTTAGATTATCGATCGTGTAAATTTATGAGACATGTCATGTAATATCCCATATATTGTATACAACTGTCCACTTTTGTTTGCAACATTTCTTGCAAGTTACTAGTTTACGTGAAAAGGAAGTTTACATGTATGAATGTTTGCATGCATAGATGTTTACATCGCCAGTAAAATTCCGAATTTTTTGGTGTGTAGAATACGGTGACGAAAGGTTTCCGCTGCACAGTTAAAGTCGAAAAACTCGTAAAACTCGTTGAAACGCCCAGACATGAACCGCAGCACGAAGTCCAAGATGCAGGAAACTCCTCGACCGAAGAACTCGTTCGGGTGCGTAGATTTCGAATTCAGTCAAGATTCCTGGAGAGTCGATATCACCAATAAGTACTTTCGCTGACTAATCGTCCGCCTATGTTCTAGTGTTTCAAGACCCAGGAGTTGACAACGATCTTCGTACGGCGGAAGGTTCACAGGGTCATTCCAAGGAAGGTGACGAAAGGCCTACCGAAAATTTTTCCTTTGAACAGATTCAATCCTCGCTATCCAAACTGCTTGATACGGGCACCATACTACCGAGCTGAATTCCAAGATCGATCGCACTAGAGAGCTTTTAGACAGGCAGGATCGAGAAACTCGTCAGTGATCCTGAAAATGAACCCGAGTTGCCTGTTAACTTTCGCAACGATGCCCGATTAATGGAGCTTGAATGTTAAGGCGCAGTCCAGCGTGATTTCTAGGTCACGAACATTGTCCACACGTTGCAGAAGTTGGTGATTTATCGTATAGTTGAATGCCACTGGTTTCAGCTTGCGATGAAATGAGATAATATTACATTTTTGTACATTCAACGTGTGATTGTTTCTTCAGCACCACTCTTCGAACGTATCGATTAGGTGCTGAAGCCGCAAGCAATCGGCGAAGCTACGAACAATCACATAGATCTTCACATCATCCGCGTAGAACGATCGGCAACCAGTTGGGAGGATCAGTCCGGCCTCATTCACAAAAAAACGAGAATAGCAATGGTCCCCTTGAAGAACACCGGAGCTGTTTGTAAAATAGTGCGATTGCTCTGATCCGATTCTAACACAAAGTTTCCGATTGGTCAGATAGGACTTGAACCAACGAGTTAAACCCGAGAATACACCGAGTTTTTCAAGTTTAGCTAGCAGTATGGAGTGATCAACCCGGTCGAATGCAGCCTTAAGATCTGTATATACAACGTCGACCTGCGCTCCAGCTTCCATACTCCGAAGACATAAAGAAATGAACAGAGCTAGATTTGTTGAAACTGATCTCTTGGGATAAAAACCGTATTGGTCAGAAGAAATGTAATTTCTGCAGCTAGAGAATAATGCGTCGTTGATGATGATTTCGAAAACTTTAGAGCAGGCACTGAGTTATGTGATCCCTCGGTAATTTCCGACGTTTCTCTTGTCTCCTTTCTAGTAGATCGGGAACATTAATGACGATTTCCAACGCGTAGGGAACTTCCCCTGCTGTAATGAAATATTGAACAGCATCGAAAGCGGTGTTGTAAACTGTGAACAGCATCGATTCAGGATGCTTGAGGGGATCCCGTCAGGGCCAGCAGCATTAGAAAATTTCAGCTTCTTGATGGCGGATTCGACGAGGTCTACTGTAACCAAGGTAATCGAAAAATTGAAAGTATCACTGGGAGTGTCCCTCACCGCTTCAGCAACTTGGGACAACGAAGCCGTAGTGTCATTGAAAATGCGTTTGAAATGATCTGCTAGAAGTTTACATTTCTCAAGGGAATTGCTGGCGATTCTATCACCCAGGTGAATTTCGACTGCTAGGCCCTCCTCGTTTCGTTTGGTATTCACGAATGACCAGAACTGCTTTGGATTAAGCCGTAAATTAGCCTGCACACGCCTTGAGTAGCTCTAGTAAAGAATGCGGTTATATGTGCGATATTCGTTGCTTGCTGTTGAAAATAATCGTTTGGTGAATGGGTTACGAGTACGACAGTATTTACGGAGGGCCTTCGATCTCAGACGCTTCAAATTCCGTAGTCGAGCATTGGACCATGCGGGTTTGGGAGAGGGTCTCCTCAATGGGACAGAATCAGTTATTGCCCGGCCAACAACCTCAGCGAAGTAGTCGACGGCTTCATCAATAGATGAACATGTGTCAAGGAACTGCCAATCTGCCTGGGCAAGCGACGAAATCTGCTCTACGAAAGTCGAGCTCATGTACATCAACAGGGGGGTTATCGTAGCGAACAGGAACAGTTAGGTTGATGGAAACTTCCGAGATCAAGCAGCCGAGAGTTGCTATTCAGTATCGAGTTGATTTGCGTTAAGCCATGCAGGTTGAAACCATCAAGGAGAGCACAGCAGGATGCGGGCATGTTCGAGCGAAGAACATCAATGCTAGGAAGATCGTTTGCAGGAACGTTCCATGAGAGCCCAGACTGATTGTAGTCACCAAATACCAGAGCTAGGTCGTTTTGTTCTAGTCGAGAGAACACGGTACCAAACGAACTGATGTGGTTTGCAATGCTGCTCGAATCAGATTTTCGGTCTGGAGGTAGATACATAGCGCCAATACTTATTTATCTACGAGGCGTCGTTATTTTGACCCACAGCTGCCCTAGAGAAGTGCAAACTGGAGCAGGATCGATGTAGTAGCTTAGGCGTTTGGATACCGCAATCAAGACGCTTCCCCACGCGATTTGGTACTATTCTGGTAGTTGCGGTCGTTTCGAAATACCGTGAATAGACTGCCAAATAATTGAGATGAATTAATGCGGTCATCGAGCCAGGTTTCCGTAAGAACTATGACATCGTAGTCAGAGTCAACGGCAGTCAGGAAAAAATCATCAATCTTTGTTCGCAGGCCACGAACGTTCTGGTAATACACCAACAGGCGGTCGAACGAAGGCGGTTGGAGGTCTGCAGAATGGTCGATCAGCCGAAACGAGCATGGTGGTACTCTGTAACACAGAGACGGATCAGGAGAAGAACTGTTTTCAGCAAACGCATACTTGCCTGATGTAGAAGGTTGGAAGACCGCTTCACCATTCTCAACCACAGGGCCAGAACGACTACGATGACAGGAATCAGCAAGCGCGACTGGGTTGAGTGGCTCAGAAGCTTCCTTGAGGCAGCAGGCAGCGCGTTCTGGTCTGGTATGTTCCAAAACGTGGCGAGCAAGATTCGGTGCAGTGCTGTATGTCCCATGTCCCATGTGATGTGGGATTTGAAGCCATCGGAGTATAACGTTTCAGTCGAACCAGCCGGTTGTTGCTCTTGAGGCGGTGAGGCGCTGGAAGCAACGGACGAATCAGGAGCGGAACTGGTGATTACACGAACATACTTGTCTTGAGTTGCGGGTTGTAAGACCCCTTCTTCAAGCCCACACGCAGGTTCAGGACGACTGCAGGACGATGACTGGATTAACTCGACTGTGGCGGGAGAAGAAAGGGCTTGCGCAGTGCTAACTTCAATGCGTCCCAGAGTGTTCAGGTGACAGGCGGGCGATGCATAGTTGATGGTTGGTAAAGCGCTAGAACAAATGACGAATCAGGAGCGGGACTGATCATGACACGATCATACTTGCCTTGAGTTGCGGGTTGTAAGACCCCTTCTCCAAGCCCACACACAGGTCCAGGACGACTGCAGGACGATGACTGGATTAACTCGACTGTGGCGGGAGAAAAAGGGGCTTCCGTAGTGCATATTCGGAAGGGAACAGCAAGTGATGGAAAGTGTCGGCAAGAATATGAAACCCTGCAACGAAGTTTTCCGCAACATAATAGTTCCATGTTTGCCAACAAACTTGTTGCCTATTCGGGATGAATTATGCCTTTGATTATGCTCCTTTTATGGATGAACTTCTCATCGGACGTACTGTGAAGTTCTAGTAGGAAGCTCACAGAATGTATCGTCTGAACTTCAGGGAACTTTACTGGAGTTCTTTGAAATTTACTTCAAAAATTCTGTAAACTTTTTATCAGAAGTTTTCTGAACCTTTCGTCGGAAGTTCTCTAAACTTTTCATTGGAAATTCAAAGAAGTTCTGTGAACTTCTTGTTGAGAGCTCTCTGAACCTCGCATCAGAAGTTCACTGAGTTTCTCGCCGAAAGTTCCCTGAACTTCTAGTTGGACGATCACTGAGCATCTTAAACTTGTTGGGAGATCTCTAAGCTCCTCTTCAGAAGTGCTCTGAACCACTGGCGTGCGCAGCCCTCTTCATTTGAGCATTTCAGGTTTTCCCGATTTTAATTCCGAACGTTTAAAAACAGTTATTAAAAACACGAACTCCATTACCGACCCGCTTACCAAAATTACCGGATGCATCTCATTCTTCTTCTCCTCAAGATCTTTTATTATTTATCTTCATGCAACAACAACCAGCATCTCCCTAAACTTCCATTTTTAGCAAAACCGATTTCAATGCCAACACAACAACTCACTGCATTACATCACAGCACTGGGTCGATGTTCCAAAAAAATAAATCGAATTAAATTATTCAAAAAACCCAAAAGTCGTGGAGCACGCTTTGCTTTGACAAACACTGCCATAACTATTTTTCGACCAGTCAATTTTGTGGCAATGGAAGGGCACGTATTAGCGATGCCAGCCCGGAGTTAATCAACATTCGATATAAATACCGATAACGGTATTATTTCGTTATTATTCACTAATTGTCCGCTTTCCGTTGCGGTACCTTTCGAGTACACCTCACAACTCCAGTCGCTTTCATAATGTTCGCCAAAGTGGTAAGTTATTATCAAATAGTAGATCCGATACGTTCGATAAGCCTAATCGCTCGATTTCCGTTGATTTATTGCAGTCCATCATCGCCACTTGCCTGCTAGTGGCTGCGGTCAGTGCCAAACCACACGTTCTAACTCCGGTGGCAGGACCTGCATACGTCACAGCACACAGCTCCCAGGTGTTTGCTCGGACGTACCATGGAATAGTGCCGATTGCGGTTTCTGCTCCAGTTCCAACCGCACCGGTTCCCGTTCCTTACCCGACTTCCTTTGCAGCTTTCTACGTCCCACATGCTGGACAGACAGTGTTTTCCTATCCATTTTATGCTCCCGCTCCAGCGGCCGCAGTTCCAGCAACTCCAGCATTTGTGGCCACTCCGGCTGCAGTAGTACCCGCTGCCAAGGTGGTGGCTGCTGCTCCGGTGGCTAAGGTGGTGCGAACAGCACCCTACCTGACGACCATTCGATATCGCTCGGTTGTTGGCTAGGCAACAGGGTTGCGATGTGATATCCGTAGGTTGGGTAGTATTGTCTTAATCATAGTTCTATAACGAAGTACCTAGCTAGTCCGTAGCAAATAAGAAAGTCATTAAAATACCAAAGTGCAATCAATGATTCAATAAGTTGTTTTATTCTTAACTCTAAGGGGTTCCAAGCTGAAAATGAAGTAGCAACTCTCTTTTCAAAATAGTATAACTTGAATTATATTTATAGGCCAAGTGAATAGAAAGATAAAACGGGTGGGGGAGCATCAGGGCATCATTGAAGTTGTAACTGGACAATGTAGTGGAGTGCCAACCAGAGTCTATGACAGAATATGTACTGTCATTTTACATAGTTGCATTTCACTCCAGCAGTTGCAATGAATTTGACACGCTCTTCTCAAGCAAACCATCCTGTGGAAAGCTTAACATGTATTGTGAATTTCGTTATTCATTTTATTGGATCATATTGTTGGAAGGAGATTCTCTTACTCACACGGCTTTCGCGTAAGTCTCTCTGCTTACGGGCCCGTCCATTCCATTTTGGTCCTTCATAGAGCAGTATGTTGAATTCAGAATGATGACAAAATTTGATCTTGCTGTTGAGTGGAGCCGCATGCAGGGCAGGACCTAAGCGGTGGCTTCTTACATACATACATACATACATACATAAATACATACATACATACATACATACATACATACATACATACAAACATACATACATACATTGCAACTGTTGTGGCAGTCAACAACGGAAACAAAGTGCGACGTTGCAATCATTGCAGAGCCATATCGAGTCCCTCTTGATAATGGAAACTGGGTGGCGGATAGAGCAGGAATGGCGGCCATACAAGTCATGGGCAGGTATCGCATTCAAAAAGTGGTGGCAAGCTCATACGAAGGTTTCGTGATCGCCAAAATCAATGGAATCTATGTATGTAGCTGCTACGCACCCCCGCGATGGACAATTGAGCAGTTCCACCAGATGCTAGATGGGCTCACAGGAGAGCTCATTGGACTGAGACCAGTCGTCATCGCAGGAGATTTCAATGCTTGGGCAGTGGATTGGGGGAGCAGATGTACCAACGCAAGAGGGTATAGCCTGCTGGAAGCTCTGGCAAAGTTGAACGTCAGTCTGGCCAACTTAGGAACCATCAGCACCTTCCGCAAAGATGGTAGGGAATCCATTATCGACGTCACTTTCTGCAGTACGTCGCTAATGGAAAATATGAACTGGAGAGTATGCGAAGAGTACACCCATAGTGACCATCAGGCGAACCGGTACAGTATCGGCGAACGGACACCGGTGGAAATGCGGAGGACGAAAGTAAGCGAGCGGAAGTGGAAGACGAAGGCATTCAATAAGGATCTCTTCATCGAAGCTCTAAGGGTAGACAGCAGCGTCCCGGGCCTAAGCGCGAACGAGTTGACCGAATCATTAGCAAGGGCATGTGACACAACTATGCCGAGAAAACTGGAGCCATCGAACAGGTGGCGTCCAGCTTACTGGTGGAACGAGGAAATTAGCACCCTCCGTGCTACTTGTCTTCTAGCCAGAAGGCGTGCTCAGAGAGTAAGAACAGAAGCAGACAGAGAGGAGCGCAGGGTGGTGTTCCGAGAGGCCAGGGCTGCACTGAAACGAAAGATAAAGCTGAGCAAGTCAAATAGTTTCAAGGAGCTGTGCCGCGACGCCGATGCCAACCCCTGGGGCAACGCACACCGAGTCGTGATGGCGAAGATCAGAGGTCCAACGATTGAAATGTTGAAAATGAAAATGAAACAAGCTGAAAGTCATCATGGAGGGACTTTTCCCACAGCATGACCCAACGAACTGGCCACCTACACCGTATGGCGAGGTAGATGAAGACAACGTTGAACAAGTCTCCGACGAGGAACTCATAGCAGCAGCGAAAGGGTTGAAAGCGAATAAAGCCCTCGGTCCGGATGGAATTCCCAACGTGGCGTTGAAGGCGGCGATCCAGACGTTCCCGGACATGTTCAGGATGGTGCTGCAGAAATGTCTGGACGAGGGTCAGTTGCCTGATAGGTGGAAGGTACAAAAGCTTGTGCTGTTGCCGAAGCCCGGAAAACCGCCGGGGGATCCTGCATCGTATAGGCCAATATGCTTGCTGGATACTGTAGGAAAGCTCTTGGAGAGGATCATCCTCAACAGGCTGACGAAATGTATGGAGAGTGAACACGGATTGTCGGAGAGACAGTTTGGATTCCGGAAAGGGAGATCGACGGTGGATGCAATTCGGACAGTGATTGACAAAGCCGAGAAAGCTTCCAAACAGAAGCGGAGAGGAAATCGATACTGCGCCGTGATTACGATTGATGTGAAGAATGCATTCAATAGCGCCAGCTGGTAGGCCATCGCCAAGGCGCTCCATAGAATAAGGGTTCCAGACTACCTCTGCAGGATTCTAAGTAGTTACTTCCAGAACCGGGTCTTGGTCTACGTGGCAGACACGGGGCAGAAATCGCTTAGAATCACGGCGGGAATTCCCCAAGGCTCCATTCTAGGTCCCACGCTGTGGAACGGAATGTACAATAGCATGCTGACGCTCAAGCTGCCCAAAGGAGTTGAGATCGTTGGCTTTGCGGACGATGTCGTCTTGACGGTAACCGGTGAGACGCTGGAAGAAGTGGAAATGTTGGCGGCCGAGGCGATAGATACGATTGGTAACTGGATGCAAGGAGCGAAGCTGCAGATAGCCCACCACAAAACAGAAGTGATGTTGGTCAGTAACTGCAAAGCAGTGCAGCGGGCAGAAATCACCGTAGGAGAGCACACCATTGTTTCGAAGCGCATGCTAAAGTATCTGGAAGTGATGACCGACGACCGGCTAAACTTTAATAGCCACATCGAATATGCTTGCGAGAAGGCGGCGAAGGTCATCAACGCAATAGCCAGAATCATGCCGAACAATTCTGGTCCAAGCAGCAGCAAGAGGCGTCTTCTGGGTAGTGTGTCCTCATCTATACTAAGGTACGAAGGTCCAGCCTGGATTGAAGCGCTAAAAACGAAGCAGAACCAAAGGAATTTGAGCAGTACGTTCCGGCTCATGGCTATGCGAGTCGTGAGTGTGTACAGAACCATTTCGATGGAGGCAGTATGCGTTATCGCCGGTATGATCCCAATCGGCATCACCTTGGTGGAAGACTACGAGTGCCATATGACGAGAGAAACCAGAGGAGTACGAAAAATGGTGAGAACGGAGTCGATGGCTAAGTGGCAGCAGGAGTGGGATGCAGCAGAGAACGGTAGATGGACACACAGGCTAATACCGACTCTTTCGACCTGGGTGAACAGGAAGCATGGAGAAGTCAACTTCCACTTGACGCAGTAACTACATCGGTTCAGACACACAACGTCACCCTTCTGTCCGGAGTGTGGGAATGTGGAAGAATCAGCAGAGCACGTGGTCTTCGAATGTCCTAGATTTGATGATGTGCGAGAGGATATGCTTGCCCTTAGCACGGAGAATGTCATCGAAGAAATGTGTCGAGAGGAGGGCACCTTTAACGCCGTCAGCAGAGCAGTAACGCAGATTATGTCAGCGCTGCAGCGAAAATGGCGAGAAGACGAACTAGAAAGTAGTAATGTGCTCACACAAGTGCAAACTGAAAGCCGAAGCCGGGAGAACTCTCCGTCAGAGTAGGCTGTATCCACCATCGGGGATAACCGAGTAGAACGTGACGCTGAGAGCTAAATGGCTCACAAATTGGAGGGACGATCAGCGAACTGGAAGCGCCAATTAGCTGAGGTAAAGCGAGGTGCGTAATGCACGGCCCCCTCCGAAGTAATACGACAAGTGGTTCCGGGGGAAAAGGGCAAGGCATCTAAGGAGGTTTTAGTGCGGTAAGAGTCCCACACACCGTGTCACCGCGACTGTGCGCCCAGTCGTCAAGCGGTGGCACGATGGCCTTTTTGAAGGTTTCCTCCTTGCCAAAAAAAAACATACATACATACATACATACATACCGCTAGAAAGGTAAAATGAACTTGAAGTCCGCGTTTCATTCACAAGTAAACATATTAGATTTATGAGGGTTATATAGACCATTATTTAGACTTATAGAATGCTATGAAACCTCTCTAGTGCTTGTAATGTTACTTGGGATTAAAAACTCTATTTTATGATTAAATGTGCACCTCACAAGCAGACAACAACAGTAAGAAATGAAACGTGATAAAAAGATCAAAAGATCGTCCGGACAGTAGAATATCTTAACTGAATGAATACTTTAAAATCAAGAATCTCAGAAAAAGTATTAAAATTGATTTGTTCTCGCACTCGAGACACAGGGCCGGAATAATTCCGTTGGCTAGATCAAATGATAGGCCGACTGTGCTGAGCGAATTTGGGTCTACCATATTACCAAATATGTTGTACTAACAATATAGATCACTCTTTTTTGGAAGTACACAACAGATGTTTAAAACTAAACCATTTTTTTAAGTCTGGAGATGAACCAGCGTCTGGCTGAAAATCTCCTTAATAAAGACAACGAACCCAACCATCTATTTTTAAACAATTATTATCGTGTTCCAAAAAATATCTAAATTAAGATTTTGCTCAGCTTCTGATCATTCCCCAACATTTGAGCTCATTTGGATGCGAACTCGTACCACACTGGCCCTTTGAAGTTTGTATGTGAATTATGCCGCGGATACATTTATGACAAACTATGAACATGAACAATAGGATGGGTCATCATGATCATTTTTTCAGAACAATGTTTTTTTGGTTCCATTTGGGGTCTCAAAAAACTGTGCAAAATTTGGGGACGATTGGTTGTAACCCGGCTTTCCGCATTGCATTTGAAATTTGTATGAAAATTAGTATGGGAAAACCCACTTTTTTGCATGTTTATTACTAGGGACCACAATTTTGCACAAACCAAGCATTTAAATACCTTAAAGTATAGCCCAAGAAGTGCCTAACAACTTTGTTAAAAATGTATTGTGCTAGAAAGCCCCCTTGAAAAAGTTATAGCTGTTCAAAGATCAATGTTTCGAATTAAATGCCAAAAATCCCTTTTTCTGCCAACACTGCCGGTGTACCAATGAAAGTCAGACTCCGAATTCGAAGTTAATTATTTTATCGTTTTGGTATGTTCAGA